GGCTCCTTTAGCTAAACTCTACTTTGTGTGACATCATATTTCCTAAGCAAGTTTGTTAGTAGAGCCGTTAAAACATCAGTCTATCACTCTAGGATTCCCCTACATCATTTACAGTGTCATATTGTGTTGGTTAAATTATTAATAGAAAAATAAGCCCAAGAGGAATGTAAATGCATGAAGAAGATCCACCTGCTTATTTCAGATGAAAATTATGCTGATACTGAGTTAAGAGAAAGTAAATATTTACATTCAATCATTATTTCCTATATTTGTTTTCTATATCACTACCAAGTTTTAGAGCTGGGAACTCATGTAGTCACTCATTCTATATTTTTGCCCTCTCCCAGCCCTACTCCATGAACCTGGGGCATGGCCACCCACTGAGTGGATCCTAGAAGACACAAGAGAGTTTAGAGTCTGCATTTGATACCTCATCCCTGTATCTTCTTCCCTGTGGACAAAACCACACACAAATGCACACATCCACGCACGCACACATCCACGTACACGCATGCACACGCGCACACACACACACACACTTAGAAGTTATAAATCTTAGGCAAAATCTGCTACTATCTTTGAATTTATGAAACAAAGATCCGGAGACATAAAGCTATTTGCCTAAATGTTTATTGCTTGCAATTAGGAAAGGAGAGAATAGAAATCCTCTCAAATTGTCTGCTGAGTCTGAAATGAGAGTGCATGGTGGCTATTCCATCACAATCAAATGTCTTGCTTTGTGCTAGGGAAGGTAGAAAGTAGTGATGTGCCCATACCACTTAGCATTTGATGGATGAATAATAAAATAGATACCAATAAGAGAAAATGGAAGTGAGACTATTGGGAACAGGTGATTGGTTTTACCAAATAGCCTCAAGGCAATCAAAGAAATGAATATCCTGTCTTTTCCAGTTTTTGTGACTTTTGCCCTAAATGTAGTTAGTCCCTGTATGGTTGCTAATCTGTTTCTACAGGAGGACTGAGTGAGCTTATTTGCAAGCTATGGTTTCTGATGATCATGGATTTTAATTACCTTTATTAAAATCCAGACTGCTTTTGTTTCAATATTTCTCAATTGTTTCTTTCAAAATTCATTGGCAAAGTCCCACAGAGATAACACTGGCCCATCCTGGATTTCCTTAAAGTTTCATATCCACCTTCCTGTTGCTTTAAGCCAGGAATGACTTTGCAATGCTTACCAGCCTTCTGCTGCTCTAATTACCCTGCTTGTGACAACTCACAGTTAGTGACCCAAGTTCATGATCGATGGGTAGTTGGAGTACACTGTAATCTCCTGGAGTTACCTTGATCATTTGTTTCATTTATAAAATTGCTTTTGTGTATGTGTAAGATGTTATTGTGTGTAATGCCTTGGAGATTAAAACCATTTCTGTGTCCAGTTCAAAGGTCATCCAATAAGCTGGTCTCAACTGGGGTTTCCCATTGGAATAGAAATGGGGTTCATCCTGCAGATAATCCAATTAATTGGTAGAGGCTGTTACTAGATCATGAGGGGGAAAATCCTCTCCAGATGTGGCTAATATTGAGCATATTTTGGAAGCAATGTTGTACCCCCTTTGGCAACTGCAGCCAGAAGAGGTTTTGCCAGCAGATGGAATGAAGTCTGAGTAGCCATGATAGAGGCAAAACAAGATGCCTGTGCAGCCTGGAGAACTTCCTAACAATCACTGTTCTACCTATCTTTTATGTATTCTGAAATCATAGGTGACCCGAGGCTCCAGCTGTGCTGTCTTTGGCCTTGGAGGTGTCGGTTTGTCTGTCATCATTGGCTGTAAAACAGCTGGAGCAGCCAGGATCATTGGTGTGGACACCAACAAAGACAAGTTTGCAAAGGCCAAAGAATTTGGTGCAACTGAGTGCATCAACCCTCAAGACTACAACAAACCCATTGAGGAAGTACTCCAGGAAATGACGGATGGAGGGGTGGACTTTTCCTTTGAAGTAGTCGGCCGACTGGACACCATGGTAGGTACTATGGCATGCCTGCCTGGAGATCCGTTCTTCTGTCATCTGTAATATGCTTTAGACAGCACAATAGAAATCTGCTGGAGAAAGAGATGAGTGGAAACTCTCCATCTCCTGTTTCTACTCAGATTGCTTAATTCGCTGTTGGAGAAACTTTCATTTTCTCACTTCTACAAACTTGTCTCAAACAATGCTCCTCCTTTAACGGAGGAAAGCTTTCAATGGAGCTTTTTTTAGTCAGAATCAATTTATCAAGCAAATTTAAACAAATTCTGGTCTTAAATGGATGAATCTGATATTCTTCCACATCTTTAATATTATTTAATATTTGAAATTAAATATTTCAAAAAGCTTTTCAAGTTTCATCGTATGTCCAAAAGGAATAATGAAAAATTTGGGGCCAAGCACTATTTTATTAGTATAAAACATGTAGAGGAGTGATTGCTTTAATAGAACATGATGTTTTCAACACAGAGACAGCACAGTGCCGGGAACTTGAAGGAAGCCAGATCTACATGTTGGAGTACATACTTTCCAGAATAGAATTCACAGATTCTGCCATACCCGCTAAATTTAAGAGATACACATTTTGTGGGCTTGTTAGTGATCTATATGACATAATGCATGTAACATACTTACCATAGAGCCAACTGCCATGTAGTTAGCACTAAGTTAAGGTGAGCTGGATAATGATAAGAAATATTTTTGCTAAATTTACAGTGCTTGTGTTTTAGAAATACCCATGAAAAGACTTTCAAATAGTTGGAAGTGCCATCCATTGATAAAGAATACTTCTCTAGTTACTTCTCACTCAACAAGAGACCTCTAGAATGCTAGAGAAATGACTTAGAGACTAACATCACCATTACTGAAGTTCTCCAGAAAGCCTTGGCAGAGTTGGTTACAGAGAATGGCTATGGTACCCTCACAGTGAGCTTCTTCTCAGTCTTGAACTGAGACAAGATGCCATAAAGATCCAAGAGAGGATACCGTCTCCTCTTTGGACAGAGAGTCCTTCTAAGATAAGGGTTCTGGCTTTTCCCGGGGCCTTTGCTCTTCTGTGAGTCACTCTCTGTTTTCCCTACTTGCTAATATTAAACTGGGTTTTCAGTTGATTTGAAGATCCAAAAGTCTGATACCACATGTTCTGAGGACATCTGGTTCTCTAAATGTCAAAATCAAAAGATGTGTCAACATGTATCTTGGAGGATTCTAAATCATTTTCCATTATTGAATGTGTAAAAACAAAAACCCAACTGAAAGAAGCAAACTTCCTGGATGTCTACAGATAACAGAATACTGTCAAACCAATGCATACTTTGGGGGCATAACCAAGTAATGCATGCCTGCTCTTGATATTAGCATCAGAGCAGGTTCTTATTAAAATGGGAGCTTGACAAGTGGATGAGAGGGAACTTTAGATGTTTTCATTATTACGTCTTCATCATCAAAATTTCTAGCTCAGAGTACAGGCTTCAAAACTGTAATTAATGGACAAACAAAAAGAGAATTAACCTACTCATGGATTACTTGTGAGTTATATGATCAGAAAGCAATGTTCTTCTTGAAGAACTCAGACTTACCATGCTCACAATGAGGTTTGCTTCTTTATTAGTTTGTAAGGTAGAGTTAAACATGAATTCATTCATTCACGTTTTCATTCACAAAATGTTTTCCACACATTTCTTCATATGACATGAAACCATATATTGTGAGTAGACCCCACAAGAGAATCCACTTTAAATATTATTTTTATTCCAGATGTCTGCCCTGGTAGGCTGCCATGCAGCATGTGGAGTAAGTGTCATTATAGGGGTGCCTCCTAATGCCCAAAACCTCTCCGTGAACCCCATGTTGCTGTTAGGGGGTCGCACTTGGAAAGGAGCAATATTTGGTGGTATGTATTTACAGCTAAGGATCAAGTTCTGTCTGTCTTCTTGTGTCAAGATGGAAGTGTGGATGTGTAGAGGCCAGAGAACATTTGATGTCCTTACTCAGGAGCCATATGCCTTGTCCTTTGAGACAGGATGTCACAGTGGCTTGAGGCTCACAGTCAGGCTAGATTTCCTGGCCAGTTAGCCCTGGAATCTACCAGTGTCCTCTCTCCAGACCCGGAATTACAAGCTCCCCCAGAACTGAATCAGCTGCTATTATTGTTTTTGTTTATGTGCTTGTTTTTGTTGTCGTTGTTGTTGTTGTTTTTTATTCTGGAGATAAAACTCAGCTCTGTGACAACTTCTCCCACTTCCCCGGCTCCACAAAAAACAGACCAGACAATGGAAGCTATTGAAGAGAACTCTCAAAGATTGTGCTAGGGATACTAAAGTGTAGTACTTCACAGTTGGTGGCCGCTGGTGGTGGTGGACACAGGGAAGGACTCAGTTTTCTTTAATGGGCTGGCCACTGGGAGTCTGACCATGCTCCAGTGAATGTATACTGGACGTGGTATATTGTTTCCCCTGGGACAGATCACAAGCATTGTGGGCTGAACCTGGGAGGACTGGGAAGTGAGTGTGAT